TGAGACTAAGCCAGCAGAAGAAGCAGCAGAAGATGTGCGACTTTTAGCATTCATGTGCGCAGCTTCCCTCAGCTCAGAGTCTGAGCTCGGCTCGAGTCGCGTCAATTCTTGAAATCTCACTCGCTTTGGTCTAGCTTTGGCTCTCGGCAGTTCAAATTTTTACTGTTGTGGCACTCAAATGCGAAAAGCAAAGCCAACTGCAGCGGCTACTGCAACTGCAACTGCAACTGCAACTGCAACTGTAAATCTGTGTGAGCCTCAGACACTTGGCTAGCCAAATGTTTGCTGAGTTTAAAGAATCTGAATTCAAGTAGCAATCGTTGAGACCACAGCGATCATCCATAAGCAATTTCCCAACTCTTAGCTAGGATTCAGTTTCATCATATAGAGCATATAGAGTACTTATAATCGAGTGAGAAGACTCTTTAAGTTGCTATAAACATTTGCTCAAATTCTATTTGATTATCGATTAATCATTAAAATAGTTTAATTTACTTATGTCTCAGCCAATGGCAAAGCTCAATCAATCAGTCAATCATTCTTTCAGTCATTCAATCAATTACAGGATCAGTCAATCATTCTTTCAGTCATTCAATCAATGACTAGGTCAGTCAACCATTCTTTCAGTCATTCAATCAATGACTAGGTCAGTCAATCATTCTTTCAGTCATTCAATCAATGACTAGGTCAGTCAATCATTCTTTCAGTCATTCAATCCATGACTAGGTCATTCAATCATTCTTTCAACCATTCATTCCATGACTAGGTTAGTCAATCATTCTTTCAGTCATTCAATCAATTACAGGATCAGTCAGTCATTCTTTCAGTCATTCAATCAATTACTAGATCAGTTAATCATTCAACCTCACATCAATGACTCCATCAATCAATTATCTACTGAGTCGCAGTAGGTTAATCAATCAGTCAACTAATCTATTGCTCAATCACTATATCAATCTGTAAGTCTGCCAGTAGAGGTAGTAATTCAGACTTTCAGTCAATCAGTCAGCCATTCAATCAGTCGGTTAGTCAATCAGTTACTCCATCCATCAGTTATCTACTGATCTCTCTATCTACTATCTCTCAGTCAATCAATCAGTCAGTCAACTAATCTAATCACTATATCAATCTGTAAGGCCGTCAATAAGGGTTGTCAATCAATCAGTCGGCTCACTGATTGATTGACTTAGTCTGCCATTCAGTCAATCAATCAGGCATTTCATCAGTTACTTCGTCCATGAGATTTCAGGCAATCTGACTGTCAATCAGTTAGTCAATCAATCAGTCTGTTAATCAATCAGTCAGTCAATCAATCAGTCTGTTAATCTGACTATTAATCAGTCAATCAATCAGTCAGTCAATCAATCAGTCAGTCAATCAATCAGTCTGTTAATCAGTCTATTAATCAGTCAATCAATCAGTCAGTCAGTTAATCTGTCTATTAATCAGTCAATCAATCAGTCTGTTAATCTGACTATTAATCAGCCAATCAATCAGTCAGTCAATCAATCAGTCTGTTAATCAGTCTATTAATCAGTCAATCAATCAGTCAGTCAGTTAATCTGTCTATTAATCAGTCAATCAATCAGTCTGTTAATCTGACTATTAATCAGTCAATCAATCAGTCAGTCAATCAATCAGTCTGTTAATCAGTCTATTAATCAGTCAATCAATCAGTCAGTCAATCAATAAGTCAGTTATTCTGTCTTTTAATCAGTCAATCAATCAGTCAGTCAATCAATCAGTCTGTTATTCTGTCTATTAATCAGTCAATCAATCAGTCAGTCAATTCTTCTCTTACTCATAGCCTACATCTTTCTCTCTCAGCCTGCCAATCAATCAATCATTCAGCATAATCTGTCCTACATGTATTTGGGTGATTGAAGACATCAACTTTTTTCTATCTCTTGCCCTCTCTCTTTCACTCTCTCTCTCTCTCTCTCTCTCTCTCTCTCCCTGTCTCTCTCTCTCTCTCTCGCTCTCTCTCTGTAATTGAACATTTGGCATCAATCATTGATGTAAAAGTCTCTAATTGTCTAATGTGAAATCGCATCGTTGTGACATTAGTTGAATGGGCTGTAAATGCAGCGTGGAGGTGCACAGCAGCAGGTGTATGTGTGTGTGCGTGTGTGTGTGTGTGTGTGTGTGGGGGCAGTGGGGCGGCCATTTTGGCTGGGCGTCGAAAACCGCACAAAGCGATTAATTAATTAAAATTGGCAAACATGAATTTATCGCGCAAGCAATTTGCACAATCAGTTTAGCGGCTGCAGCTGCAGCTGCTGCTGGTTGCAGTTGCAGTGGCAGTTGTTGCACTAAATGCAAATATCTGCCGCAAAATATATGGCAGCAAGGACTAGCAAGGACTATGGCATGCACAACGTCAGCTGCAAACGCACTGTGCATAATTATTGAAATTTGGAAATTGTGCGGTTCGCCGGCTTTGGGCGAGAGCAACACAGAGAGGGGGGGGGGGGGGGGGGGGGGGGGGGAGGGGTCAGGTGGGTCGGAGGCCAGAGAAACCGCAGCAACAGTTGCAGCAGCCACAAAACATTTCGATACAAATTTGAAGCCTGGCACAAACGAGGCCCAGCTGCGAGGGGGCAACGCGAATTCACATATTTCAACAGGCGACCGCAAAAATGCCAACGCAGAAGCCGGCATAGTTGGCTGTGTGGGCGTGGGCGTGGGCGTGGCAGGCAGAAAAATTACAAATGCAATCGTGAAATTAATTTAATTAAGCCCAGGGCATGCAAAAAGTTGCGTAACAACGAGCGAGCGACCGAATCAGAGTTGGAGTCAGACTCGAAATGTTTTGTCGAAACGATTTAAAGTTTTTTGTTTTTATTTTTATTTTTATTTTTATTTTTTTAATTCTATTTTGTGCCCAAAGTGGGCGACATTTAGACGTCGCGCGCGCTCCTTGCTTTTCGCATGCAAATTGCGCTTAATTGAGCCAGCCTCGGGCGCGCGCTCTCCTCTCGCTGCTCAACTGGCAACTGGCCATGGCCTACGCTGCGTATACGTAATATGCAAATTGTTGTCGCGCGTCTGTTGCAGGCAACTTTACTGTTGCCGTTGCTGAGCTTATGAAATTTATTAGTTTTGCTGCAGTCAGAGGCAAAGGATTTCACTTGTCCCAAAAAATAAAAACAAAAACAAAAAATCAAAACCAACAGAAAATGAAAGATTTTTCGCGTATTATTGAAATTTATAGCGGCCAAAGTGTGAATGAGCTGGAATTGGAACTTAACTATGTGTTAGTGTACGTTCTAGTTGTATATACCCGCTGTAAGTGTGAAGAAACTTGTGAAGTTGAGTCGAACTAGCTAAGCCAAAGCTATTCTATGTGAATTTAACAGAAGGCAGATTGAATAAAAAAGATTCATTTGGTATATAACAAATTTGTGTTGTAGCTTGATATAGCTAGGCCTGAATTATGTTCTTCAGCGAACTATATATAATATTTAATCTTGATTTCTAACATCATTCTTTCGGCTTTTTAATAAATTTGAAAAGCATTTTCTCTGCAACTTTTCTTTTTGTTTATTATGAGCCAATTAAACTTTTGCTGTCTAATTTATTTTTATATAAAATTATTTTAATTTACTTTTAGTGAAAATTTCATTATTAATTCAATAAAATTTAATTTTAAAAAAATTGAATCAACAATTTACTATATTAATTTAAATTAAATGAATATTAAAATATAACAACAATATTTTGTGTGGAAAATTAAATAATATTATTAATTAAAAAATTGAAAATAACATGTTTTATGCATTTTTTATGCATAGCAAATGAATTCCTTTTTTAAAAAGAATTTCCTTTGTAAGAAATATTTAATAAATATTTTATTTGCTGATTTTTATATGTACAATTTATTTAAAAAATATTTTCAAATGCAAAAAATATTTTTGTGCAAAATTATTACAAAGTTTCTTTGTCCAAAAAAATTTTTTACTTAACTATTTTTTTATTTTCTTGTGAACACTCACAACAAATTCTTGCTACATTCTTTGCCTTGATTTTATGTATCTTTTATCAAATTTAATTATATTATAAATATAAAAAAAATATTTTTATATTTATTTACCTTTTGTCAAAGACAACTTTCTGCGCGCTGCTAAATATTTATTTATTACAATACAATAAAAACCATATTCTGAACAATTTATGCACACATATAAATATTTGTGTACGTATATATATATATATTTTATGTAAAGGGCAAAGGCATAAATTGCGCATACGCCGCGTTAGCCGCAGAGTCGGAGCAATTTGCTCATATTGCATGGTAATAAATTAATAAAAGTAATTAATTACAGAGGCGAAAGGCGAAAAATATATTCAATAAAAGCGCGCCACATAATTCATTCGAGTGCAGCAGCAGCAGCAGCAGCAGCTGCAGCTGCAGCAAAAGTTGCATTTGCAGCTATAAAATTTGATTGCCGAAATTGAAAGTGCTTGAAAAATTGATCAACAATGCGGTTTGAAAAAATTGCTATAGATAGAGATATATATTTATATATATCTAGTGGGGAGTGGGGCATAAATATGAACTGATAATTATGTTTGGGAAAACATGTAAGAGGGCAATTATGGCAATTAACAGGTGAGCGTGTGTGCACACCTGCTTTACAGCTAATCATAATAATAAAGAATTTAGTTAAATACAACTTAATGATTGCTAAATGCAAGCGCCAGGCCCGCGTGCTTAGACATATCAATTATAGGCCATTTAGCAGCGGCGATTGCTCTCTGAGACTCTGAGCGGCGGAAGTAAGCTGCACACACACACACACCAACACACCAGCACACCAGCACACACACTCGCACACACTCACAGCGTATGTTCAAAAAATTAGTTTAATTATGGCCAATCGAAGCGAGTTTAATGCATTTATTATTATATATTAGCAGCTGGCAACTATTGCCCTCCCTCTCACCCCCCTCTCTCTCCATCTCCCTCTCCTTCTCTCTTATATTGACTTTACACTTACCCAGCACATTGGCCCCAAGATTGTTCAGCATGCTTGCCGAAAAGTTGCGTATGGATAGCGTCGACAGTTTGTCGCCTTTTTCTGTTCGCGTTGTCGCTTAATTTTTATCGAAATTCAATTTGATTGAATTGCAGCTTTTGGCGCAGACTCCAAGTGGGCCCAAATGGGGGAGATCTGCTCGTATACCTCGTCTATCACAGTACAGTTAATTTCGCGTGCAACTTGATTACATTTCAATCTGTGCGTCTTGTCGCAGCTGCAATGGAGAGAAGAGAGCTTAGAAATCTTGAAAGATGCAAATGATGCTGCTGAGGAAGTCATTAAAGATCGATGATATGGATGACATATGTGATATATATTGATGCTATATGAATTTAAGTTTTTAGTTAAAAGCAAAACTTGATGAGGGCAAGGATATATTAAAGATCTTTAGATTTTTTGCTTATAAATAGGGAGATCAGTATGGATAGTATGGAGAAGTAATTCAGTATGTTTAGTATATTACATAAATATAAGAAGTAAATTGGGCTAAGTTATGTCAAAGCTATAGCAGACGATATAAAAGTAAAGATGTAGCTGCAGATCAAAAATAGCTAAGGATGGTAGATGAATAGATTAGAAAAAGAAAATTAAGTGTATAGAAAACATTTAAAAAATAGAAAATATATATAGAGAATATATATAGCAGGAATATATAACAAGTATATATGGAAAATATATAGTTAAAGGCAGAGAAATTAATTTAGGAATTTTGTTTTTGTCTGAGTAAAAAGTTGAAACCAAAAAATAGAGTAAAGATTCAAGAAAATAATAGGAAAATTATGTTTCTTATAAAAAGAAATAATAGTTGAGCTAAAAAAGGGATAAGTTTTGAAGAAGTTATAGAGTAGTACGATCTTATAACTGCTTTTCAAATTAAAATTATTTAAAAATGGAATAATTAATAGAAAATGAAAATTCTTAAAAATAAGCAAAAAATAAAGATATTTCCATATCTACGTAGATAGATGGATAAGTAAATATCTTTATCTGTTGCTTATCTCTTTTGTTATTTACTCATATTTCTATATATCTCTATAAATTATATTGATTCTTTCTGTTAGTTTTCGACAAAATTAGTTATAGAGAGAGCAAAGAAGTTGAGACACAATAAAAATGGTATATCTTATAAATATGTAGAGAGTTGAAAAAAAAAGAGAGAGAGGCAGAGAGACAGAGCGCGAGCGAGGTAGAAAGAGATAGAGAGTGTTAGAGAGAGATAGATGTAGCTTGAACTTAAGATAGAATTGAAATTAAAAATTATTTGCAACAAAAATGTATTTGAAAGAACTTAAGATCTTTAAATATCGCCAATGACTATAAGCTTTCAATGCTACAGAAAGTTGTTCAGATATATATTTAATTTCTGTAAGATCAAGACACGTTAAGGATTCATACTCTGAGAGCAACTAATTGTAAAAGCAAGAGTGGGACCCTGAGCTATCTGTTGGCCTTTTATGAATCTATGAATCAGTGTATTCTCCGCTCCGCTGATCCTTTGCCCATTCTCATATGACCTTAAAACTTTATATGCAACACGACTTTCTAGTTCACAAGTATCTCTATCATATATCTACAAATTTTTACCTCGTTTCTACTCTTCGACTCTTGATTGAACAGTATTTGGTAGCTTAATAAAAATTAGTATATTTTATCTATATATTAAAAATGATATTAAACTAATCTATAATCCTTATATATATAAATTCAGAAACAAATGCCCAAAAGAAATTCAAACTTTTGACTCGCTAAAGCCAACAGAAAATCATCCAGCTCAATTTCACCTGGCAAATCAAAACAAATCTAATTTGCTGATTTGCAGTTCGCCCAAGTTTTGGCTTTGAGCACTCACCTGGCGACCGCTGTGCCTTTGTCTGGACTCGTATGTAGAGCAGTCAGCTGTGGCAGCAGCCAAGAGTTAACCGCCTTCGGGGTCAAAGTTCAGAGCAAAGGCAAGACGTTCAAATTGCCATAGTAAAATTAATTAAATGCCTTTGACCATAAAAACAAAAATGAATGCCAAAAGAAATTAAAACGAAGTCACTTGGCCGGAAGTTGAAAAGTTTTCTAACACGCACATTAACACTAACACACACACACACACACAGTCGGAGACACGTTGAAGGTAAGCACGCAATAGAACGGAAATTGTATCGTTTATTGATGAAATGTTTGACCAACTGACAGCTGGACAAAAGTGCCGCAATTTAGCTAGACTGTGGTTAGCTTGTTGTTGCTGTTGTTGTTTGTATATATATATATATATATATATATGTATATGTATATGTATATGTATGTATGCTAAGCTGCAAATCAATTATAGCAGCTGCATTTGTCGTTTACCAACAGACGCACACACTCACTCCCACCTACACACACACGCACACTTAGACAGCACTTCTTTTTTTGCACATTTTGGCATTTTTGATGTGAAAATTAGTTGAGCGTCCGCTGGGAATTGACTTTACTTCCGGTTTGTGTTAGCCCGTATAACGGTTTCTTAGCTTTGTTTAGCGACGGCGTTTTGCGATACGTAACGTTACGCGTAACGTTTGTTCAGCGACTCGCTCGCATTTGAGACAAATGCGAAAAAATCAAAACGAATTGACTCGATGATGATAACGTTAACGCTGGCGCTGACGCTGACGCTGAACGTCGACGGCGACGGTAACGCCGACGCTGACGACAACAATGATTTCAATCGCCAACACCCAAAACACCCATCCACCCACTCGCTCACCCCCCCTCTCTGCCAATAGCTGGCTGGCTGGCTGGCTGGCTGGCTGGCGTGCCAAACAATCGACAAGTGAAAAGCGAAAAGCGGGTAAGGCGCGTGTTATCTGCTTTTCTATCTGCCAACTGCTTTGATTTGCAAAGCGTGCGTGTGCTGTGCGCGCAACAGGGACGGCTACAGTATGCCGCTGCCATCTTAACGCGAGCAGCATTGAGCATAGCTAGCTGTTGCGCTCTCACTGCTACATAGCTACAACTAAGAGCGGGATAGCCAGCGTTAGCTGTGCGTAATGCAAGCGCCGCCCACAAAAATGTTAGCATTGTATGTGTGTGGCTCGGGCTGGCCAATGGGATGGGGGTCAGTCAAGTCGATAAACAGCAATTGTTTTTGGCGCCTGTTATGTGGCGCCTATCGATAGGCGATAGTCGAGAAAAAACAAGTGCTAAGAAATCGGCGCAGCCAGCTTCTCGCCCCCCTTCGTATTTGCTGTTGCGCTGGCAACCAGCCATTCACAGTTATTGCCAAAAGTCAACTACGGGGTGTGGGAGTGACGGCGGCCAACAGTGGAATTTGTATAAAGCATAACTCTCAGAGGATGACAGAGATTGAGCCGCGTGCCAGCTAAACATTTCCAGCTAAGATGGCTCCTGGCTGCTGCCGTTGCTGCTGCCACGTGTGCCCACTCACCTGTTGTAACAGTCGCCCACGCCCCGCTTCCACATTGCGAGCTTTGCCTCTCTGCAGTCGCTTATTAGTTTTTTGTTGTCAGGACGCTGCTTTTTGGTGGAATTTTATATAGATATATATTTGTTGCAGCATGCAAAATGTTGAATTAGCCAACAAAGAATGTTACCAAAATGAAACTTGCCATGGCAACGGTTTGCTCAAAAAAAGAAACATAAAATAAAGGTAGAATTCCCAAAAATCAAATGAATACAAAAAACTCGACCTCTCAGCTCTCTTGCTCTCGCGCTCTCTCGTTCCTCTCGCTCTGTCTCTCTCTCTATCAACTGCAAGCGCAAGCAAACAAATTCGTGGCGTTAATTAAAAACTCAAATTCGAGACCCCCGAAAACCCAACCACAAGAAGCACAAACAAATTATTCAAGCTGTTGTACAAAGACCCAAATTGATGTCTGTCTCAAGCAAGAAGACGAAGAAGTAGAAGTAGAAGTAGAAGTCTAGCAATTGATACAGTAAAATACATTTAGATCTGTAAAATATCACACACAATTCTTAGATCTGACAGGTAGCCAGAGCTCTACCTATCTACCAGTTAAGCAAACACAAAGCCAAACAACAAAATGAACAACATTTCAGACATCGACTACTATTTTCATTTGTTTGCAAAATAGTTGAAGAGTTCTACAGATGCTGAACAATATATATTATATAGTATGATATAGAAGGCTTATATGTATAGAAGAAGAAGGATTAGAAGTCTAGCGATTGATACAGTAAAATACATTTAGATCTGTAAAATATTATGTTTACTTCAATATTTATATATATATCACAAAAATAGATTTGGTTTAATATAATTCAATAGATTTGGAAGTATATGAATATATATATATATATTATATTATTTGTATTCTTCTTTAATTAATTTTAGTTTTTTTTTTGGGAGCTCTAATTGATCCTTGTTTGCGCTTAAATTATGTATTATAAATTATTTTTATATAGTTAAGAAATTCATATTTATTTTATTTTTGTATTTAAATTCATATATTCAATCAATTTAATTTCGATAATTTTTACCTTACAATTCTTTGTGTTTCTTGTTTATAAATATCTTTTTTATATATTTTTAAAAAATATATTCACTTTTTAACTTTAATAAATTTGTAGTAGATGGAATAAACAATATAATAATAAATATATACAATGATATGCTTATATACTATACAAATGTTTATACAAAAGAAATTCTAAATGAATTTTCTTTTTAAGTATAGCTATAATTTAATATTAAATAAAGAATAACTTTATATTTTATATATTCGAAACTAAATAAAACAAGATAAAATAAAATTATTTATGAATATTATGTGATGATTGTTATTATTATTGTTATAATAATTATTAATTATTATTATATGTAGTTAATCACAAAAATGTAATAATATATTTTGGTTTTTTTATTATTACTTGTTTATTTTATTGATCATGATCATTTCTTATTTATTTAGTGCATGAAAAGAAAATGATAAAATATATTTATTCTGTAATTAAAAAATTATTAATATATATACACGTTCGTTCTTCGAACTCAGAAATGATTTGT